GTTTTCTTATGAGTTCAGCTTCTATGATATATTGTAAATTGTATTTTATTTTTTCACATTCCTTAAGCTTTTCCTGTACCCTTTAAATTCCTTTTTGCTTAAGCCAGTACAAGTGGGATTGTGTTTTCTTTTTTTTCTCTTTAACAAAATTCTAACTAGAAGGGCTGCATTATCATCCAGGTCATCATACTTTCACAAAACTAGTGAAACACAGAAGTTTCAACTGAGAAGACACGAAGAGTTAAACGCTTCGAGATTTGGAAAGCTTTTTTCTGTCAGCTTTCTACACCAAATCAATGTCTTTGTATAAAATCATATTAATTAGCAATATTGTTAGTTTGATTCTGTTACCATCATGGTGGTCATTTGTGAGCAGGAAAGATGTGCAGTTTCAGTCTTGAAATAACTATTCATCATTTAGCAAATTTGAATCTGCACAGTCATACTCAGAGAGCCCAGATTCACTAAATAAAATCCCAGAACTTGATATGACTCCAAACTAAAGTGTATATTCAACTTTCAACATCAGATATAAATACAAATAGCTCACACACACACACACACACACACACACACACACACACGTGCACACACACAATTTAAAAGCAAGCAGCACCACACAGTGGTAGGATGGGGAATATTTCTCTTTGACAGAAGCACCAGCATTTGCTCCTTTGGAGATTTGGGGCTAGTTCTTTGTTAATTTTCTAGAGGTTAGATGTGTTCAATGTGGTGGTGTTTTCTGTGAAAAATAAACCATTTTATGTTTTTGCTTCTTGATCTCTCGAGAAGAACAATTATTGACTAAGTTTCAAATTTATTTACAGATGAAACTGCTAACTATGAGAAAATAGTTATCATAGTTTACCATGTATTTATTGTAACCAAATGCATCTTAAAATACAATGACTTAAAACAATTATTGCCTGAGGATTTTCCTTTTATTCTTTGTCATAGGGAACATTTTATTGCTAAATTTAATCTGCTGAAAATCAAATTTTATGACTGAGAATTTGGTACAAATATAACCATAGGCATCATAGCGATTGCATTAGATATAAAAAATGAAATTCACTTCTGATATTATACATTTAGCAACAGTTTGGTTTGTAATTTATTCTGCATTTGAAGGATGAAACAGTGGTCTGAAAATTATTTCCACCTAGTTTGGTCTAAAGATATTACTTCTTCAGCTCTTTGGAGTATGAAAACCCTAATTTCCAGAATGTATTCCATTTGTGTCACAATGGGATATTCATCTTTCCTCAACAATGCTTGATCTCTTAATACTTTCACTGACACCCTCGGTGGACAGCCTTCCTAGGCATTTCTCCATAAGTGAAGAGTTTTCAAGAGAACTTCAGCAGAATTACTGGTGTCTAAAGAGTCATTTTCTCATTATTTAACTTTTTAAGCCTTCTTGCTATTGAAGAAAACATGATTAGTAGCAGAGCTGCAAAATAATCTGTAGTTAAGAAGAATGCATTGCCAGGATCAGCAAGGCTCCAACAGCATCTCAGTGTGGTTAACGGAGCCTGAAGGGAAAGACAACCCTCATCACAGGGGAGGTAATATTTTGAATGATGCCTACTCTGATATTTTCAATACTTTCATATTCTGCATATCTCTAGGACAGAGAGACTGAGTGTTCCTATATTAATTATATTTTATTATTTTTTTTTTATTCTTAATGCTCTGGCATCTGGGGCCTCACTTCCATGGCGAGACTGTCCCTCCCGGAATTAGCTGATTCCTTAAGAGAGTAGAGAACTTGCCTACAAGGATGCCTTTCCTGTGCAAACAGACCAGCTGGTGAAAAGGCAAGTGGCAGTGTGCTTCTACTCATCTCCAAACTCATATTCCACCATTACTTCCTTTACTGAACGGAATTCTCATATATCAAGTCACTGCTTCCTGCCTTTTCATCACCAAGCAATCTCAGACAACTTGGAACACCCCCAAACCTGCTGAAATTGCTCTGTTGTCCTATCCTAAAGCAGTTTATCCCACTTGTCTTATTCCTTCCCACAAAAACCACAACAAAGTCTCTTCCCCACACTTTCCCCTCACTCTCTCTCTCCTGGTTAGCTCTGGTGCTTTCCTGTGTGGCCCTGCACAAGTGTCTGGCCTCCTAGAAACTCATCCTCCAGGAATCTGTGAGTGTACAAACGCCTTTCCTCATGACAGTCATTTCCAAGCAGTGTGTTTTACCATACCAGACTAAAACAAATCCTGGCTATGTTTTAAAACAGATCTCTAATAATGTAAAGTGAGCTCTCTAATCTCCATCATTTTGATTTTCCTGATATCACTCTTCTTTGTATTGCATGAGAGTACATGTCACCCAGGACTATGTGGGGATTTGAGGCCTAAGAGACATATAAAGGGAAAATAATTACTGACTTTGTTACTTTGTTTGCAGGTTTTATTTATATTATTGACAATTTTTTTCCCATAGCATTCAACTCAAATACAAGTAGGGATTCTGGAACCATGCTTTCTGGGACTTTATAATTCAAACTCAAAGTTTTACTTTGAAATTTGACTATGGCTTTGGTCTCCTATTAGTTCTCAACTTTTTCTATTGCACTGGATTTTCACTGATTTTTAAAGTGCTAAAACCAGATATAGAACCAATTAAGTCACCATGGTATTCATTTGGTGGTAATCAATAGTCATCACATTTACGTGTTTACCCCAAATGGTTTGATGTGTTTGACATATTATGACATCTTATATTTTGACTAAATAATTAACTTCCAATCAGCCTGATAAATTGCTTCACTCTTCTTATAGCTTGTGCCCAATTGACTCTGTTGTTCAATTTACTCTATTGGATCCAAAGCTCAGCCCATTTGATTTGTACAACTTAATTCTGTCTCTACGTTCTGTTATATTTAATGAAAACACAGCAGAAGACCAACATTCACTATTATAATTACTTTGCAAAAATACTGTGACAAAATAGGAGAAAACAAAACAGATGCATTTTGGAAGCACTATCTGAAAGTCAAAGAATATAATCATCAGAAAGCAGTATATGTGGGGGTTTTTTTGGCCTTTTTCTACTTAATAAACCCATATACTAAATATATCAACAAAACGTTATCCACAGTAGGTACTCAAGTCTACTGTGTTTGTATTTTGCTGGCTTCCAAATCTAGTGTCTGAGTAGGCCAGGTATGTATGAATATAGACTAAGTGTGCATGCATATGGATAAGGGCATGGGTGGAGCACTATTATCAATTAAATACCTAGTATACACAAAGTACTTTGCTTAACCACTGTATATTTGTTCTAGTTTCATTTGTATAATTCCAGTATATATAAATATTATGATTCTCACAACTATAGCTCTATATAATTAATTATTCAATGTTAAATGTTCTCAATAACAGCCAGGCCCTGTGTTTAAAAGTTCACTAATATTTCATATTTTGACTTTACAACAGTCCATGAGATAGGGTTTATTATTCTCTTTCCACCCTTGAAGAAAATGAAGTACCTTCAAGGTAAAATGACTTCAGTTTATGTAGCTCTTTCAATCCCACAGTACTTTTTATTATTATTACCAAGGGAAATTTCAGATAACGACTTAGCTAATAATTGAGATATTAACTGAGTTTCCTTTTCATTCCTTTTGTTGGTTTACTGTGGTTTTCTCCTTGGAAGGGTAGCAGTGGTAAGCAGATGTAGCTTCCCAGGTTGAAGTTAGGGGCAATATGTGTCTCACCAACACGGTGCCTGGCCAGGGATGAGCTATCATCCAGACCAGGGCTTTCCAAACTTGCTGTGATGAAGGAACAAAATTTTTTAATAGAAATTAAATAATATAAATAAAATAATAAAAATAAATTACAGGTGCCCTTTCAATGGGGTTATGTCCTGATAACATCCATCATAATTCAAAAATGCCATTAATTAAAAATATATCATAAATTGAAACTATTATAAACTGTAAGTTCCTCAACTTAAGATGGGGTTAGAATTTCTACTGACTGTACATTGCTTTTACACCATCATAAAGTTTAAAAGTTGAAAGTTGAACCATTCTAAGTTGGGGATCATTTGTACCAGATACATAAAATAAAGACCCCAAAGTATTGAAAAATATAAGCTCCAACTTTTAACTATTAAATTCAATTGCTACTAAGGTTTCCAAATTCGTATTTCTGTATTTAATCTCACTGACAGTCAGATCTGTAATTGAATGTTTGTGCTCTTCTCAAATTCATATGCTGAAATTCTAACCCCCAAGGTAAGCATACTAGGGGTAGGGCCCTTTGGGAGGTGACTAGGTCATGAGGGCTAAAGTATCTTTATGAAAGGGGCTCCTGAGAGCTGTCTTGCCTTTTCCATCATGGGAGAACACAACAAAAAGTCACTATGTATGAAGTAGGAAATGAGCACCAAATGGGCTTGGGCCTTGATCTTAGTCCCGTAGTTTTGATGAGTATGTCTAGCTTTACAGTTTTTCTGTGGTGATATCAGAAACAAATTCTGATATGTAATCACATGGGTTTTTACCTTGTCTTCTATTTTCTTAAACTTTCATCTCCCCTTAGCTGATACGGTTTCTCCCATGAACCTGCCAACTAACTTTGTTTGGCTGCATGGGGTAATAATTATACATGGTAATCTCTATCAATAGCAAAAATATAAAGAAATTGCTGTGTTTTAAACACGAATCTTTTCTTAATTCTTTGATTTAGAGAGATTTTTTAACCAAAATACTTATATTTCAAATTATAACAAATAATCTATTATTAAATTTATTCTGTAACTTCTCATTGATGTATGGCCAGAGGACATGCTGCTCACCAAAGAGAGAGAAAGAGACTTCCCTCAATAGAGAATGATCAAACTATAATCCTTTTTCCAGCATTCCTCTATCCAAGCAGGAAATGAAGCACATGTACTTTGTGGGTTTCCAAAGTTGCAGGGATGGGATTTGAACCATGATCAGCCATGTGGGAGCTAGCTCTCTGCACACAGCATTTAACCACTGTGTTACAGAGCTGGCCCTCCATCTTTAAGAATACGTTTATTGAATACCTACTTTGTGCGAAGTCCTGTGTTGGGATTATCAAAGTGACTAAACTATGATTGAACTAATGACCAGCCTATAGTTCATCAGGATTGTCAATTTTAGAAAGGAGGGAAATGTATATGCCCCATTTCTTCACAGTTGTCTTGAGTCTCTCATGCATGAATCTTGGTCATAGTTCAATCCAAGTTAAACCCCAAAGATGGTCTTTGGTTGTTTTAGAACATTCAGTATAATCTCATTTTCCTGACCTAATCCCAGAATGAAACAATGGTCTAATTTGTCCAATCACAGTGAAGCCTTTCTTGGAGTTTTGTTCACGGTAAGGAAAGAGAAGCTTTCCAATCCTCAGTAGAAAGTGATGGTGGGGTGATAAATGGACTCTTTTATAAACATGATAGAAGTCAGCTGGATGGTGAAACCTACAAGAAGGAGAGCAGTGAGAAGAGAATTGAGAGAAACAGTCCAAGACATAATCAAACCAAACTTGTGGATTTTTTATATTACATGGGCAATAGATTCTATTGGTTTTCAGTCACTTGCAACAAAACAATATCAGGAAGTACCAACAGAACAAGGAAGGGGTGAAGTTGTCAAAACAAGAGTCAGAATTTTCTGAAGTAATTGCTGCCTTAAGTCATCTAAAAATTTATGTCATCTAAAATTGACCTGCAGGTTGATCTTAAATTCTAATTAATAATTTTTTCCCCTAAAAAAAGCAGGTGCAAATATTCTGGTCCCTCTTTCTAAAGGAAGGATGTCTTTAAGGAGTTAACTTTACGATCAAGGATTCTATTAGATACCATGTAATCTTCAGATAAGTATTTTATTTAAATTCTCTCCCGTTTAATATTTAGAATAGTCAAATATGTTTACAGAGTTGGAAATCACATGAACCAATAAAGAAACTAATGAAAAGATAAGTAGCGTCATTCTTTTTTTTTTTTTTCTTTTGGAGAGATTTTCCCTGTAGGGCGCGTGTGCTCGCCAGACAGACAGAGAGAGACATAGAGACAGAAAGCGAGAAATCACCCCCCGGGGGGATGGTCACGCCGCAATCCCTTCTCCTCCATTCTCCGCTCGGGATCTTGGGCACGCACGCACACACGCCCGGCGTGAGTTTGAAGTCACCGGGTCCGGGACACGAACCGCGGTCAACTACGTGGGAGTCCAGCGACATAGCCATTATGCTAACTGCTGGTTCCCAGTAGCGTCATTCTTTTTTTTTTTTTTCTTTTGGAGAGATTTTCCCTGTAGGGCGCGTGTGCTCGCCAGACAGACAGAGAGAGACATAGAGACAGAAAGCGAGAAATCACCCCCCGGGGGGATGGTCACGCCGCAATCCCTTCTCCTCCATTCTCCGCTCGGGATCTTGGGCACGCACGCACACACGCCCGGCGTGAGTTTGAAGTCACCGGGTCCGGGACACGAACCGCGGTCAACTACGTGGGAGTCCAGCGACATAGCCATTATGCTAACTGCTGGTTCCCAGTAGCGTCATTCTTATACTCATCTCCGTAATTGACGACTGCCCGTAAGTCTAGTTACTCAGCTAGGACGTCCCAGCCGAGCACTCTATGATTTTATGTATCTGATCAGAAGCTACTTGGGACTTGACACTGTGTGTGGCTCTGTGAATTCCAAACATTTGCTATTGATAGTCTGTAGAATACTAAGCATCTCAGTCATGTTAAGTGAAACACACTGAAAATGACCAGCTGGCTATCTTTAAAATTAATTTCAGTTAAGACATGTTTGGTTTATATAGGACCCACTGATATAAAAAAAAGTTTAGAAAGAATACTGCTTTTCTATTTTAAAACATTTCACCCATGAAACAATGACTTCATCACTTTATTTCTTAGACAGGGTGGTCCAGATAAGTTGCAAAAACACTAGGTGGCACTATAGTTTGAAATATCATTCAGATAAGTTCTAAGCTAAGATATACATGAGAGCAGGTAAAACAACAACAAAAAGGAAGGAAGCTAAAGGAATATAGACCCATATTTAAGAAAATATTAAATACTGAAATTCTTTGGTAATTATTAGAAAAAAGGAATTTACCTTATGCAGTTAATGAATTATTAATTAATTTGCATAATCCATCTAATAGACTTTTTAAAAAGTTAATTTCCCCCCTCCAAATTGAAATAAGATCGGGACTTTTTGGAAGGCAGCAACTGATTAAACCAGTTACAATTACTTAAAAATCTTTCATTCATCAGATGAAGTATAAATTTAGATTTTAATATGTCAATCAAATTTTACAACTAAAGAATATTTTTACCAAAAAAGTCAAGTAAAATATATACGAATATTCCTTAATAAAAGAATACATTATGTGAGAAGTTATGTATGTATGGTTTATAGATTTTTTTCTACTTAAATCATAGGTACATAGATAATTTATATTCAATAAACCCAGTAAACTATGCCTTTTATGAATTTAGGATCTTTGCCTAAAGTGACTGGTATACATAAAAATCCAGAATTTCCAGGGCCAACAGGTGGCATAGTGGTTAAGGTGGCTGGACTCCCACATGGCTGACTGTGTTCAAGTCCCAGACCTGGCAGCATGCCTTTTCACTTGCATTCTCTCTCTCTCGTCAACTTCAAAATAAAATAAAATAAAATAAAATAAAATTATAGGACCCACTGATATAAAAAAAAGTTTAGAAAGAATACTGCTTTTCTATTTTAAAACATTTCACCCATGAAACAATGACTTCATCACTTTATTTCTTAGACAGGGTGGTCCAGATAAGTTGCAAAAACACTAGGTGGCACTATAGTTTGAAATATCATTCAGATAAGTTCTAAGCTAAGATATACATGAGAGCAGGTAAAACAACAACAAAAAGGAAGGAAGCTAAAGGAATATAGACCCATATTTAAGAAAATATTAAATACTGAAATTCTTTGGTAATTATTAGAAAAAAGGAATTTACCTTATGCAGTTAATGAATTATTAATTAATTTGCATAATCCATCTAATAGACTTTTTAAAAAGTTAATTTCCCCCCTCCAAATTGAAATAAGATCGGGACTTTTTGGAAGGCAGCAACTGATTAAACCAGTTACAATTACTTAAAAATCTTTCATTCATCAGATGAAGTATAAATTTAGATTTTAATATGTCAATCAAATTTTACAACTAAAGAATATTTTTACCAAAAAAGTCAAGTAAAATATATACGAATATTCCTTAATAAAAGAATACATTATGTGAGAAGTTATGTATGTATGGTTTATAGATTTTTTTCTACTTAAATCATAGGTACATAGATAATTTATATTCAATAAACCCAGTAAACTATGCCTTTTATGAATTTAGGATCTTTGCCTAAAGTGACTGGTATACATAAAAATCCAGAATTTCCAGGGCCAACAGGTGGCATAGTGGTTAAGGTGGCTGGACTCCCACATGGCTGACTGTGTTCAAGTCCCAGACCTGGCAGCATGCCTTTTCACTTGCATTCTCTCTCTCTCGTCAACTTCAAAATAAAATAAAATAAAATAAAATAAAATAAAATAAAATTGCAAAATTTTCTCCATCATTCATGGTCTTTGGTAGCCAATTTAAAATTAAGACCCTGAGAGAGAATGTGGGGGGATTGTCAGTGCTCTGAGTGAGGTCCACTCAGCTCCACCTTAATGGGATTCTGAGCCACCCAGAGAGATCTGTTTCCAAATTCATATCCTCTGACCTTCACAGCTGTCTACATATGTGATATTTAATGGTAGGTCTTGTAAAACTCCCTCTCAAAGTCAGAAAGTAAAACTCAATGATAAATAAAATTGATTTTTAAAAACTTCATCTGAATAAAATTTGATTTTATGTAACCAAAGGCTTTAACACTAGGTGTGTACACATTAGAATAAATGAAAACTTCTTTCTGCCCCTTGTGAGAGAAAAAAAAAAATGTGCTCTCTATTTTGATGGATCAATTTATCCTTCCTAATATTCTCTGGTATACCTCAATCTCTCTTGTAGAATCCAGTCCTGTTGGGACCAGCAAATGGCATAATGGCTATGTTGCTGGACTCCCATGTAGTCTACCATGGTTCAAGTCCTGTACCCGGTGGCTTAAACTCATGCTGGGCACGTGTGTGTGTGCCCAAGATCCTTAGAGGAGAATGGAGGAGAAGGGATTGCAGCATGGCTAAACCCCTGAGGGGTGATTTCTTACTTTCTGTCTCTGTCTCTCTCTTTCTGATAAGCACACATGCCCTATAGCAAAAGCCTCTCCCAAAAAATAAGAATCCAGTTCTGTTAAGTTTTGTACTTTTTTAAAAAAGAATTATTTTATTTAACTTAATTTACTTATTTATGTATTTTAACTTGACCAGGGAGGGACAGAGTGGGAGAGAGAGAGAGAGAAAGTGAGAAAGCAAGCCACCAGGTCTGGGATTCAAACCGTGGTCGTCCATGTGGGATTCCAATTCCCTTAACCACTATGCCACCTGCCGGGCTCCAGTCCCGTTAAGTGACTAGAAAGAGATATTTCTTAAATAGTTGAGTAGGTTCTGTTAGAAATTTTCCCAAAACTGTCTTTACTCATGAAATTGCTATTGTGACCAAAAAGTTTCCAATACATTCACTAGATAAGAATATCATCATCATAATGTAAATTAGCTGACAAAACTGGAAAGAGGTTTGTAAAAATTGGACTAATAACTTGTTTGGATTGTTGGCTTAAGAAATGAAAATATTTTAATTTTGGAGACAGAAACTTGAATCATAATCAACTAGAAAAGAAAGCAAGAGGTCTACAGCTCCATTGCAGGTTTTGAAGATGAAGATGGGCAGAGGGAAATGGGAGAGTGGCACGTAGTGAGGCCCTAAGAGCAAACTCTAGGAACCCAAAGCAATCGTAGCTGATAGCCTGTAAGGAAGCAGAAATTCCGGTTCTTCAACTTCAAGGAATTGAATTTTGCCAGTATCCAGGGATTTGGAGGTGGACCTTGGGCCTCAGGTGTGATCACAACCTCAGCCAATTGAGTTTGCCCAAGGATCTAGGTCTCCATGCCTAGACTTCGGCCCTTTGGCGCCATGCGGCAAAATATGTTATTTAAACTGCTACATTTGTTGTAATTGGTTATGCATCAACTGAAAGCGAATAAAATTCTGAACTTCCCAGACACAATTCTAAAGTCCAATTTCTCTCTTTCTTCCTTCCTTACATTTAATAATTTTTTCTGTCAGTATAAAGTTTCTTCCTGAAGATACCAGATCCAGGCGGAAGGAGGGGGAAAGCCACAACCTGGGATGAGCAGATGGTGTAGCAGTTCTGTTGCTGGACTCCCACATGACCAACAGTGGTTTGGGTCCCAGACCCAGTGGCTTCAAAATCACACCAGGTAAGTGTGATCCTTGGAAGAGAATGGGGGAGAAGAGATTGTGGCGTGGCCATCCCCT